TTTTTCTCCACACCCCCCCCCCCCAGAAAGAATATGAGAAAACAAAGACTCAAAGAGAGATGGAGGAGAAATTTATTGTGAGTGCCTGGTACAATATGGTAAGATGCTCCAAACTGTATTAGGGTTATAATTGTCAGTCTTTGTTGGTGTTGTTTGTGTGGCATTTATCCTGAGCCCTTTTCGTTTAATTACAGTATAGTTGTTTGGAAAAAAACTGCCCTGTGTGCACACAGACAGATGGGTGAATTTGTCTCAGTAATCTATAAACAAGTAACACTAAAAAATATAAATAAATAAACCATGTACCTTTACCTTCTAGCTATGCTTGCCATAATTTAAAGTAGACACACACAATGCTGAAAGAGATCATGTTGATAACAGAAATCAGGTTAAACATGAGTTCACAATATAAAAGTCAAGCTGGGTTTCCTTCCTTGGTTGCTTACAACCTTCAGTGTATTTATTTATACTTCATTAAAATGTCTCTGTAAGAGGCTCTAGGCATTGATTATTGACTCTTATAGTCCCCTACCATGGCACTTAGCCAAGTTATGCATAATTAGTTTTGTTAATCAGAAATGGTACAGACAGTTTTTCCAAACATAGCAGAGAGAACCATATTTGAGAAAACCAAGGGGGGATTTAACCAGAGTACAGTAATGGTGGTTATACAGGTAAAAACAACACTCCCTCCTTCCAATACATGAAGCTGTCCCCGAAGTATATAAAAGGAACATCCAAGGGAACATGCACAAAACGCAAGGCTGATGCACCACTTACATCCTCAAAGTACAGCATAAAGTAGGGCCACGTGCGTTTGCCAGCTCTTTGCACCCTGAGTGAACCAGAGTTACCCATGATAGAGGCCATGGCCCCTTCAGAACCACCCTCCTGACAGATGGAATTTCTGACCCTTGTGGTATGTCAGTGTCCCAAAATGGAGCTTGAATCCCTCCCAGGTCCCTTCCCTTAAGATGCCTGATGGCCAATATGCTCCCTCTCTTATGTTCATTAATAGGAAAGAGGAAACAGTGCTCCACCACATCCTAGCTTGATCATTTGAACCTTTGGTATGGGAAAGCAATTTCAGATGACTTTGCACAATTTCCTAATGTTATGCCTACTCACTTGGAGATAAAAACAACAAGGAGTCTGGTGGCACCTTAAAGACTAACAGATTTATTTGGGCATGAGCTTTCGTGAGTAAAAACCTCACTTCTTCGGATGCATCGTGAGTAAAAAAGTGAGGTTTTTACTCACGAAAGCTCATGCCCAAATAAATCTGTTAGTCTTTAAGGTGCCACCAAACTCCTTGTTGTTTTTGTAGATACAGACTAACACGGCTACCCCCTGATACTTGTCACTTGGAGATAAAACATCCAATTAACATTTAAAGGGACAATGACCACTTTAATTTTTTCAAATTGCATCATTTTGTATTTTTCCAGTCCCCAACAGATCACGTTTTAAATAGTGTGGTCTGAAATAGTTTTGTAAACACTCCTTTATACTTCTAAGGATTTTTCTGCTTGCCTGCAGTATTCAGAAGGCTCTTGTAGAGAGTGACAGCACCAAACATCCTCGAGCCCACTCACTTTCCCATCTTTTCTGTGCCCATGCTTGCCTGCTGCCTCTTCCCTTGTTCCCTGACTTGTCAATACCCTATTTGCAGGCCTGGGGAAGAATGTGCATGTGAACTGAACTCAATGACCTCTCGAGGTCCCTTCCAGTCCTAGAATCTATGACTCTATAAACTCCCCCCAGAGCAGTGCAGCTGACCAGCAAAGCAGTGAAAGGGTCTGTACATCAAATGTCCTCAGATTATCAAAGTCAACAAACTAGAGGGGGAAGGCTCAGTCTGTTGTAGTGACAGGCATTTTCTCCTCTATGTGACGTGAGCCTGAAAACTGTGTCATACAAGCATTCACAATTACCTATATATGTATGATGTTAATAGTTCAGATACAGCAGCAATGGTTAAGAATAAACAAATGAGTTCTCTTCTCACAACATACTTGAATAGCACTTCACACATTCAAAACAATTTACAATTTGTGACGTCCAAGACTATAACAGGGTTCAAAAAAGAACTAGATAAGTTCATGGAGGATAGGTCCATCAATGACTATGAGCCAGGATGGGCAGCTGGGTGACCAGATGTCCCAATTTTATAGGGACAATCCCGATGTTTTGGTCTTTTTCTTATATAAGCTCCTATTACCCCCCACCCACCCCCTGTCACTATTTTTCACACTTGCTGTCTGGTCACCCTATGGGCAGGGATGGTGTCCCTAGCCTCTGTTTGCCAGAAGCTGGGAATGGATGACGGGATGGATCACTGGATGATTCCTGTTCTGTTCATTCCCTCTGGGGTACCTGGCATTGGTCACTGTCAGAAGACAAGATGCTGGGGTAGATGGACCTTTGGTGTGACCCAGTATGGCCGTTCTCATGTTCTTAAAAACATCATCCCATTAATCCTCACAAAACCCCTCTGAGGGAGGGAATTACCATTCTCATTTTAGAGTCGGAGACAGAAAGATATTGACTTGCCCCAAGTCACACAACAAGTGAGTGACAGCTGGATGTTGAACCCGGGAATCCCTGATTCCAAATCCTGTACTTAAACTGCTAGACCTCCCCTCCCCATTTGTGTTCAAAGTGTTGCCTGTTATATCATATATGTTGGTTTGTAAATTCCATGTGCCAGAGATTTTGTGTGTCACGAATTTTTGAAGGGCTGTATATAGTCACAGCAGCATGGAAATAGCATTGCTCTTTTTCCTGTTCCACTCACAAGTTTCTGTTGCTCTTTTTTCTCTGAAATGACCGGGTCCCTTTAAGCCTCCTTGTTTCTCAGGCCTTGTCTACACTTTAAAGTTTCGCCAGCATAGCTATGCCTGTTGGGAGGGTGAAAAAGTCAGATTCCTAACCAGCATAACTATGCTAGCAGAAGACCTAGTGGAGATGCAGTTAGACCAGCAAAAAAGTGCTTTTGCTGATATGGTTTATTTTGTTTAGGGACTGTCATAAAGCATACTGGCAAAAGAACTCTTCGGCTGGTCTAAGCTGAGTCTGCCCGGGGATGGTTTGCTGGGACAGACGAGGCCCAAGTGGGAATGCTGCTAGTTCAGCTGGCTGGCTATTCTGCAGGTCCAGACGGGTGGCTATAGCTTCAGCTGCTTCTTCCTTCCAGGTTAGGCCTCTGTTCTTCTCCACTGCCCGGGACAGTGTCTCTGTCTTCTGCTTCTCTCAGTTCGGCCTGTCTGAGCTCCTGCTGTCAGGAATTTTCATTTTTCATCTCTCCCAGGCAATCAGCAGTCAGGAGACAGCCTGGCCAATTAGCTCCTGCTGCAACCATCACCAGCAAACATATCTGTGTTTTCTCTCAGAACAAATTCCCGCCGTTTATCATTTGCTGATATTTCCATGTGGGAGAAATGCATTTCTAAAAGTTGAGAGATGCACTTTAATTTTATTTGAAAATAACTTAAAAAAAAAAAAGAGAGTGCCCAGGCAATGTATGGCTGCATGCAGAAAAGCATGCTCAAGTATGGGAGGGCATAACTTACTATCCTTGAAACCGTTTTGCGTGATTACTACAAACTTTGAAAGTAAAGCAGCCTTTTTACGCTTGCAAAAATACACATTTTTCACACAATTCTCTGGCAAAATGTCAAAGACCCAATCAGGTTAGATGGTGCTGATAACGCAAAGGAAAGACAAGTGGTAAATGGACACCATGTTGAGTAGTATGCACTAATATTCACTAATGAGTTTGTCTTTATTCATAGGGAATGACTCTGCATAAAAAGGCTGCAGAAGATAGACTGGCTAGTACAGGCTCCGGACAGTCCTTCCTGGCTAGACAAAGGCAAGCCACCAGCACAAGGAGATCTTACCCTGGTCATGTCCAACCAGCTACAGCAAGGTAGAGAAGCCTGGCCTTTAGAAAGGAATCAGCCCTGTGATCCAGGCATACTTTGTTCCACGTGACGTTTCAGGAAATGCAACTAGCATCCTTTCTCTATCTTTATTCCTTGTTACCACTGTTATTTCTCATTTCAGGAAGGGGTTTTATTATGATTTCTCATTGTTTTAATGCCCTTCATTCTTATTTTTTTTGGAGTCGTCATCTTTCTTTCTCTTTAAATGTGCCAAAATTTTGAAAACATCCAGAGGAGCGCTGTATTATAATGGAGTTTTTTAAATTTGTACGAAGTTGTCATCTCTTACCTAATGTCTGATATAGGCTATGTAGCACACATAAATTTTCTGTCACAAATGCTATACATGTACCTACGTGTTACTATCCTTTATAACTCTCTTCATTGAAAGGGAATTAGTCTCCTTTTTACTATGTAGTAATCAGTTTAAAATTGCTGAAAATCCTTTATAGGAAATGCAAAATTGCTGCATAAAATTAGTTATAAAACATATTTCCTGGGGGGGGGAGGGAAACACCGCCACCGTAGACATTAGTATAGGTGCTAACCTAGCTACATCCTGTGACACCTGCTGGGGAATGTTTACAGAACAAAAATGAGTTTCTCCTTTCATGTGTAGAGGTTGCTCCTGTTCTTGGCATTTGGCATTTAATAGGGAAGTAGGATGATTTGGAGACCATTCTTTCATTCTTTTTCTCTTAAAAGGCTTCAGATCTGCTTTTATTTCTCCACTGGTATCGTCTGTTGTTTGCGGCCACCGGTGAAATGTTTCAGATTGTTCTCCCCACTCTGGTTGGTTGAGTATATCCAAAAAGAAAAATCAAGAACTATTTGGAATGCTTTAATGTGCTTACAGCATCGTTGGTTTAAAAGAAGGCATTTATTTTAAAGCTTTGTAATGATGGACTAGCCATACATCAAGGATCAAGGCCCAGCTAAATATTGTTGAGGTTAATGTATTCAAATGGTCATCAATCACTGAAAGACTTATTTTTAATATGTTAATTAGGAGGATGATTATATCAATTGCCTTACTAATGACAGAGGGGGCGGGAGGAGGGATAGCTCAGTGGTTTGAACATTGGCCTGCTAAACCCATGGTTGTGAGTTCAATCCTTGAGGGGGCCACTTAGGGATCTGGGGCAAAAATCAGTACTTGGTCCTGCTAGTGAAGGCAGGGGGCTGGACTCTATGACCCTTCGGGGTCCCTTCCAGTTCTGTGAGATAGATAGGTATATCTCCATAGGTATAATGGTAGCCATGCCCTTAGGCAAGTTTGTTGCTTACTTTATTGAGAACTGGCTGTTTGTAGTCTAATTCTTTTAACACATACCTGTCCATTTATAAGTAGCATCTTCGCTGCATCTTCACTTTGACTGGTAAGACAAGTGAGTGGTTCTCACTTCTGATATTAATTTAGGACAGATCCTCCAACAAAGTGCTGAGTATTTCTGAGCGTTCTGAATGCCCTAAACTCCCAATAACTTCTTGAAGAGTTGAAGATGCTCAACACCTAGCATCTCGTAGGATCAGCCTTTACCGATTTACTAGTAGGGAAGCTTTGTGTGTGTGTGTGTTTTGTGACATCACCTTCAACATAAATCTTGCTCCTAATATGGTGTGCATACAATCTAGTTTCTAAGTTTAAATTTTGTAAAATTATTTTCATCTCTTGCCCAATGCAGGACTTTCCTTCCTGTAAATCCCTTCAAAAGTAGCTCATGTTGGCTTTTTTAAGCATCCCAAGGTATATTTTAATCTAACCTTTTGGTTTAAAATGGTCAAAGGATCCTGAAGGATCAGTCCACATGAATTCAAAGACAATTACATTTGTAAGTGCTGTTTTATTCCAGAGCACATCCAACTGTTCATACCTAATCCATGTTAAAAATGGCCATTAAATATGTTGAAAGCATTTATCTTGACCCTGATTTTCCCAGCAATACAAAGAACATCATCTGAAGTCCATGAGCAAAATGCATTTGTCTTTTATTCCAAAGACATAGAAATATATGTAGAGTAGTGATTAAAAAGACTGCATAGCTGTTGTCTGCCCACTGTACTGTGCCTAAAATTAGGTTAGGTAAGAAAAATATCTCCTGTAGTATGTGTAAAGCTAACAATGTAAAGGTAGTTCAGGCATAAACCGATGTTTGCCTTCCTGTATTTTGTTGAGAAACACAATGCTAACGCGACAAGTTTCATAAGCACCGTCTAGCAATATGATTATTCGGACACATGTCTTTTGTGGAGTTCAGACTGGTCACGTTAGGAACCTTTCTTGTGTGTACTGTGTGTGTAAGGGAGCAAGAGTTAGTCAGTCTCCTTGAATAAGTATGTGCAGCATTTTTCAGCCCCTAGGAAGGAACCCAAGAATATTTAAGGCTTTATTTTTATTTTTGTCTGTCAGCCTCTTCCTTTGCACCACCATCTGCCAAAATCTACTTGTGAATGAAGGGGATTCCAGAATTGTAATGGGGAGGCTACATCTCCAAGCTACTAAGTCAGTTTAAGATTACTGTTAATTAGATGTGTATCCGGAAGAAACTCAGATGCAATTTCCATCCTAAAATTAAACAACTTGCTTTTGTTTTTTGTTTTTCTCTCTCTTTTCTGGCTCCTTCTCCCCCTCTTTGTTGCCATTGGGTTTTTGTCTCGCGTTCCTTAGGTCTCCTTTTTTTTTTTTTTGTTTTTGGAGCCCGCTCTCTTTTTATTTTGGCCTTTCTCTTCCTTTCCCCACAAGATCAGACACTATCTGAGGTGCCTCCCTGTTCAGTTGTATGCTGCTTTTACAGAGGACACTGTGTAGAGAGGAACAGCAGAGACTAACACTGAGCCTATATTTTGCTGCTGTTGTGGATAATTACAAGTTTCTATGAAAACTGCCATCACTATTTCTCATCCAGGGGCTCTCAAACTTTTTGTACTGGTAACCCCTTTCACATAGCAAACCTCTGAGTGTGACCCCCCCTTCCCCCTTATACATTAAAAACACTTTTTTTATATATTTTACACCATTATAAATGCTGGAGGCAAAGTGGGGTTTGGGGTGGAGGCTAACAGCTTGTTACCCCCCCCCCGCCGGAATAACCTCATGACCCCCTGAGGGGTCCTGACCCCCGGTTTGAGAACCCCTGTTCTAATACCATAAATTAGTACTAAATAAAGTATACATACAGTACTGCCCTGCTCGCCTAAAAACGTTACTTCCCTGATGGGAGAACTAATTTGCATTCCTGCAAGAGGTAAACAGCCCTTCTTGGCAGCAGCATTTTTAACTGATAATGGCAGAAGAGCTGAGCAGTCCATACGAGCCCTTTCAGGGCTTCCTAACAACTGTGGCAATGTCAGGCAGGCACCTTCTTTCTGTCAGCTTTGTGTTAAATAAAATAAAAGCAAACGGTCTAATGCACAAGCAAGTCCACAAGATTCCAGACTGAGACTGCTACTTTACAGTGCTGTCAAGCGGTTGGATCTTAACTTCTTTTATATTCAAGGACACGATGGATTCAACCTTGTAAAGTGCCATGCATGTGATACTAGATACATAATGAAGAAGAATATTAACAATCCAATTTTTTCCTAATAATACTTAGCACTTGAGTAATGCTTTACATTTTTCAAAGTGCTGTATAAACAGTAACAAACTGATTGTAAAGTTAACTTTTAGCCAAAGTGTAGCACAAAAGAGAAGTCTCATATAGAAATACACATTTATAAACATTTTAAAATGAAAATAATACAAATAGGAAATTGCCAATTATTTTTTCACTGTATCCTTCTTGATATTAAGCAATTGAGAATCCTTTGCAATTTTAGTGTCACCAGCAGATGACTAAAGTTATTTCTACATTCACTTCAACAAAAATTGCTAGTGGTTTTCTGTTCCAACGGGTTCCATTAGCAACTTTACATTCATTAGTGTATCGAAAGGTGAATTTTTAAAATCCTGTTTAGAACTACTCTGCCTGCCCTTTCTAGTATCTCCTTAACATGGAGCGGTGTGTGCAAGCGGCTAAGATGCATTCAAATGATTTCCGCATTTCCCATATTACTCTACATCAGATTGTCCACTTGGCAGCTTCCTGCTTGATTTGTAATGGTTCTTTTTTAATGGCTTTGATGCTTTGGCATAGCTGTAGTAGTTCGATGATACTTTCTCTCACCACTCCCTTTAGACGGTGACTCTGAGGAAGACTAACCTGAATGTGTCTTTCCAATTTTTCACTTTCTATGAAACCTGCTTAAAACATCATCTGGATCTGATGCCTTTGATTGAGCATTTTTCTCTTTACTTTTACTCTTGGAGAGGATTGGGAGGAAAATCTTTTTACACTCATAGGGCCAAATACTTAAATCTGACTTCAAGTAGGTTTGCATGGGTGTAAATTGAATTGAATTTGGCCCTTTATGTTTTACAATAAGTCTGTCATTAAAATAATTAGGTATCCCCAAAATTATTATATATGAGGACTTAGGCAGTCACATACCTATGGTGTCATCTACAGCAGTGGTTCTCAACCAGGGGTCCGGGGTCCCTTGGGCCACCAAGCAGGGCCAGCATTAGACTCACTGGGGCCCAGGGTAGAAAGTCCTGCTCCCCTAAGACCAGGGCCCTGAGCCCTGCCACCCAGGGCTGAAGCCTGAGCAATGTAGTTTCGTGGGAGACCCTGTGGCATGGGGCCCCAGGCAATTGCCCTGCTCACCCCCTAATTCCAAACCTGGCTTTTATATGCAGAAAAACAGTTACTGTGACACAGGTGGGCCATGGAGTTTTCATAGCATGTATGGGGGGCATCACAAAGAAAAAGGGTGAGAGCCGTGATCTACAGTGTTTCAGAGAACTAGACTACTCTTGGTGAAGCCTCTTCTCAGCAAGATCTAAAATGAGCTCACTTGCACTTGATAGCAAAACAACCCTTCCTTAAAATTATTGCACTGGGTGAAGCTTGCATGTGATTTTTCACTTTAAACTGAAAAGGTGAATCTAATGGTCACTCGACTGAGGAATTAGATTAATGATGGCTTGAGCCAAGTCGATCCTAGTTTACTCTTGCCCACTTCCCTGCACAGTTCTGCCAGCACACTTCACTGTTGGGAATCAAATCACTTCTCCTGCCTACCTGTCTTTTCTCATTAAAAATAGATACAGTTTGGCACAATCTGGTGTGCCTGGATATGTGAGCCCATCACATCTCAAGGGGCAAATCCTCACTGAATCAGAAACACCTCGACCTCATGTCTACTAGTGACACTAAGCCCCGAAAACAAGCAACGAGTGTTGGAATATATAGGCCACTGGCTGCCACTTTCAGGGAATTGGAAGGCTTCTCAGCAGTTTTCTTTCAGATCCTAGTTGGATCTTGTGGGTCCTCGGCAGTGGAACTCCTCAAGCATGAGCAGTTGACATTTCTTCCCTGTATGGAACTCAGGAAGGCAATTGAAGCTTGTTAGTGACTCTGCAGCCAATACTAGGTGAAAATAAGAGAACTTCTTTTTTCCTCAGCTGAAAAAAGAAGGAAGATACAAGCATCTGTTCCAAGGTATAGAACTCCAAGGAGCAGTGTGTTTTTCTTTGTAAGATTTTCACTGCAATTTGTGCACCGTATGAAGTAGAATCCTGAACACCTGGACTCCTGGCACTGATATAAGTTTGTTTTGAGTTACAGGTGACTAAACAAGAAACTCTAGAAAAGGGCTTTTTTCCCAGGAGAGTAAGATTGTCTTTTTCAGCCATGCCAACCTCAGATCTTTCCCATTTGACACAATAGATCTCTGGAGAGTCACTCTGCAACCAGCACCATACGTGGAGAATTTGAATGTTTCTCTTGTTTTTCCATTCTTGACTTTAATGTTTTCATTGGAGATTGAGACATGAGAGTCATTTTTAAAATTATCCAGTCATTAATTTGGACAGATGGTGACATTTAACAAATAAAAGTAGACTAGAAAGCCCTCGAAAACTCTGCTAAAAGCAATATGTATTTTTTCCCAAACTGCACGATCCTACGGGACATCAAATTAACACCTAACAGTGGATTCAAGGCAATCTAATTGTTTGATATGAAAAACAGCTGATGGATCAGAAACAGTTCATGACAAATGCCCTACAGTCTGGGTGAGAGGCTGACCCTTTTGAAATGTATGGGCATTTTGCCACTGATCTCAGTGCCACCCATTTGAAGAGACTAGCTGAGAGAATGGGGTTGCTCTAAAGTGGTTCTGAGCTTTGGTAGGTGCTAATGGAGAATTAGAGATTTTCTCTGCTGCTGTTCATTGTGTACGTGAAGCCACTTGGAGACCTGACAAAGGAGGCATACCCTGAAGTACTATATGTTGATACCACAATTTAAAGTAAACCCCCATCTCATGGGATAACAGGAATTCTCTCTGTGTGCTGTTCTGTTGCCACAGATTTCAAAGTGGATTTGAGACAGCTGCTTGAAGCACTGTCCAGACAAAATGAAAGTGTTGTTTATAGGGGAAGAGATGGGACAACCGGGAAATCATTTGTATTTGGTGGCAGCCTTATTTACTGCTAGGTGCTGGCATGTTTTGCAGCTAGGCATGGGAACAATTTTTTAACAGAAGCTGAAGGTTACAGTTAGGGAGAAATGGCTGTTTTCATCTTCAAAAAAGTGAAAGTTTCAGCCTTTACTTCCAGTTGTGGATCCTCATGGCAATGAACTTTGCTTTTGTGGTGCCAGTTTTAGGGCCACCATTGAAAACGCACTTACAGATTGCAGCGACTTCCAACCTTAACAGCACAGCTGCTCAGGTGACCTCTCCCTGGAGGAATCCGTGCTGCCCACAGTTCAGAAACTGCTTATTATTCTTCCATTATGCTTCCATGTCTTGCTAATTTATCAGCATTATTAAAAGCCTGTCCTACACTGTCACTGTTCTAAAACGGCATGGGAACAAAAATGCCAAAGATCTGAATTGCTGTGACAGAAATAATTACACAGGGAGATAGTAATAGAAAAGATGAGTAAACTAAATGTGGCATTCATCTTACAAAAGAAAGCAAGCTCTTGCCTGACAATTGCTATCCTGCAAGTGTAACTTGAATGCCCCTAATGGCATAAATTTTAAGAGAACAAAGCGCTGAGATCATAGTAGCTCCGTGATCAATAAGCAAGCATGGTTTAAAAGATATCATCACAAAGAAATCAGATAATGTATTTATGGAATTACAATATTATTAGATGCAAGGAAAGCAACAGAATTTCAATTTAGTTTTAACTAGACTTTAATAAAACATTTTATATAGATTTTCATGAACTCTTAACTAAACAATTCTAATTGGCTTGTGTATGAGCACTGACTTTTTAAGCCTAAAACTGAGGGGCTAGTAAGCAAAGAGAAGTGGATCAATGTATTTCTGGATGAGGGCTGGGGCTGTCCAGTGGAGTTTTAATGGGATTGGGGTTGTGCCTGCTTTTATTTATCAACTTTGAGAATCTGGGATGGGAAGTAAAGAATGTGGTGAGGCAGAATATTAATAAAGTGATCAAGTATGTCAAGATCCTTAGGGTGAAGTAGCTATATAAATGCAAAGTATTATTAATACATTTGTAGAGAACCACATGTGGGGAAGTGTTGGAAACACCAGTGAGGAAGGAAACCGCATTAGAAGTAGGAACGAGGAAGATAATGAAATGGGATTCAACATGGAAACATGCAACCTAATAATTCTGGAGAAAATACACCGTTACCTCGATATAACGCCCCCCCCCCCGATATAACACGAATTCGGATATAATGCGGTAAAGCAGTGCTCGGGGGGGCAGGGCTGCGCACTCTGGTGGATCAAAGCAAGTTCAATATAACGCGGTTTCACCTATAACGTGGTAAGATTTTTTGGCTCCCGAGGACAGCGTTATATCGAGGTAGAGGTGTATATCCAAAGCACATACTCACTGCATGCAAATACTTGGGAAAGGCATAGTGTAGGGGTGATGGATGACAAATTGCAACGGGACACAGAAGCCAAAAGGGAGAGTATGCCATCAATTCTTCCTGGTTGACACTGCAACCTTTACTGTCCTCAGCTCTGACATCATTCTGAAAAATAACATTATTTTAGCTGTAAATAATCCATCCGGCCCACAGAGGATTTCTCAGATTTTCAGTGGTCTCTGACCATTTCCAATACAGAGTTCTACCCTTTGGAATAGCCACGACCCCCAGAGTCTTTACCAAGGTTTTGTCCATGGTAGTAGCTCACGTCAGATGTTACGGCCTCCTTGTCTTCCCTTATGTTGATGACTGATGCTTCGCTGTCAAATCTTGCCATGAAGCCTTTATGTCAATCTTTTCTCACTAGGGGTCAGCATGAATATCAAAAAATCTGTTCTTACCCCTATGCAATCTTTGAATTTCATCAGGGCAACCTTGAATTCTCACTACAAAGGCGTAGTTGCCCACAAACAGGTTCCAGACCATGAATGATATCATAGTTCACGTCACAAGCAACCCTAGGGTAAAGGTCAAAACATGTCAGTCCCTCCTTGGCCACGTGGCCTCGTGCACCTATGTCCAGGGCCGGTGCAAGGAAGTTTAGCGCCCTAGACGAAGCTTCCACCTTGCGCCTCTTCCTCCCTCCCCCCCCACCGACC